CACACACACACACACACACACACACACACACACACACACACAAAATCCCCTCGCCACGGTTACGTCAGCCAGGCCAACTGAAAATATCAGGTCACGGCGTCTGACTCTCTGTTCAACAAAAACAAGGCGAACGTGACAAAACGGTCAAGAGCTTGCCACATGTGTGACAAAATTCAAGACACAGGGAGGTGTACGATTGGCCTTGGCAGGAGGTCTGCGCTAAATTGTGGCACTGTTATGCTACAAAGTGTTACGGCCACAATGATAAGAGGCGATAAAAACATGGAAATCAATCCATCGGAGATATTAGGACAGGAAAAATCGATCTAACCCTTTCATGCACCGTGTAACCTGATAAGATGATAAAAGCTGTCGACTGTCGTCGCCGCTGTCCCTCCCACTCGCGGTGCTGCGGGGCACACAGTGCTGTTTGTAGAGCATTTGGGGTGGGGGGGACTCTAATTTTTTTCAGACCAAACACCCTGAACAGGATATGGGACTGGTCGCTGGCAAAGAAAGTGACAAAGTTCCAGAAAGCCGCCCCTTTGTTCGAACGTCTACTGCTTGTAAAAAGCCGCAGTGTGTGAATGCGGGCCAAAGGGAAAAGGGTTAGAGCAACACGCCAAAGCCCCCAAATAAGCCAGTGTGAAAAAGGACGTGTTACTATAAGCCGCCTCGCTTCCACTAACATCCACTGGGATGTGGAAACTGTGAGTCACCGCCACGGAGGCGGCGGCAGCTGAGGCGGCGGCTGCGGGAGTCTGGAGGATGTTCGGCTTGAGAGACGCGTCTGTCTGCCTCACTTCCTGTTCAGGCAAACACGCACTTTCATCACACGCGCCAAACAACAGCCAGTGACTTACAAATGCCGCATCCGTTCTTTGAAGCACGACATCCTTTTTAAAAAAAAAAAAGTCCTATCCAGGAATCTGGGTCTGATCAAGAGCTGCTCAACATGGTGATTTCCAGTCCACATGTGGACCCTGGTGCCTTACTTTACGGAGCGCCCACTCACCAACGCTCATAATTTAACAAGTTACGAGTCGTCGAAGTTTGAGAATACATCAGAGTGAGGGGAGAAAAATGAATGCTGTATTTTTTCCCCTATTAAGAAAAAAAAAAGGGAAATCTTGCGAGGGTAAAGTTAATAAAGTCCGATTTTTATATGAACATTTTTTGAAAAGCAAGCCAATTTTTTGCAAGCAGGTTTTCAACATATTAAAGTCCTACTTTTACTAGGAAGATGAATAATAATGTTACGATACTAGTCCTATTTTATGAGAATTTGAAATAAGAATAAAGTCAGATTCCCGTGACCAATATTTTATAAGAAAAAAAAAGATTTTTACGACAAGAAAAAAAATGACACTCAAGTTGGATTTTTAGGAGAATATGAGGAGAATCATTCAGTCAAATTTTGTAAGACTTTTACAAGACTAAAGTTGGATTTTTAGGAGAATATTAGGAGAATCATTCAGTCAAATTTTGTAAGACTTTTACAGGAGAAAGTAACGAGGATAGTCAGATTTTTTTTTCCAGTAAATAAAGTCCTAGTTTTACTAGAAAAATAAGGCCTAAATTTTCAAGAATATAGTTTGATTTTCTGAGGACTTCTCATGACAATAATGTCACAATCACGCCCGCAAGTAATATTTAGAAGAACGTCTACAAGTAAAAGCAATTGGAGAATAAAGTTGCATTTTAATGAGAACATAAAGACGATTTTTACAAGAAGAAAATCATAGAGAGAGAGAGGAAAGAGGCATTCCGCCGAGGGCCGACAACACCTGACAACGTAGTGAGACCGGAGGCTCCGGAGAGGCGGCTCGAGTATGAGACGGCGAGCTGCGACGATGCGTCACGTTGCCTGCGGTTAACGGCGCCTCGGTGACGGGGTTGGCGACATTGTCTCACACGTTCATCTGCGAGGGCCGCACTTTGTGCGCTGACCTTTGTTCGGGCTTCGAGAACGTCTACTCGGAGCAGAGGAGGAAGACAAATGGCAAGGCGGGACGGGAGACGAGCGGACCATAAATCACCACCGAAACGAGGGGTTTTCGAATGGATGCATGTACAAAAAGTGTGACAACACCTCTCACCTCACATATACAGTAAACCACGCGATGAACGAAATTGGGCAGCGGCGTATGGTTATGTGGGCGTGCGGGGAAAAATACAATAAAAGGATGCTTATGTTTTACCGAACTTATTATTTCATACAAATATTGCCTGTAATTATGACTTGACTACTGCATTATCTTATGGTAGGCGTGGGCTGGTGTCAGATTTGGACAATATGATAACAAACAGTGAGCAAAAATATTGCGGGTTCAATGTATCGCGGGGTGACAACTAATGATTGAAAATATATGAGTCTGAATGCGCTAGATAGGCACATTAGTTCAAGGGAAAGAAACAACTGCAATCTTATGAATGTAACCAAAATGTCATCTCAGAATATGAGGAGCCACTTCTCCGCTTATCCCCGTTTTGTCAACAGAGTAGCAACAAATTGTTCTGTTAGCCAAGCCAGTTAGCTACCTCGGTAGCTAGTCTATAGTTTTCATTTCACCATTTGTAGACTCTCGTAACTGTTTGGAAATGTTTGTTTCATGACAGCATTACATAATACAAGGTCATATCCTAACAGTACCTTGAATTAGTCGAAGAATGGCGCGCTCAAAAGCAGGACCGTGGTATTGCCTCCAATACGGCACTTGCAGTCATTCTTTGTGAACACTTTTGGTCGATTATTCCTTCACCAAGCCGCGCTACGCGAAAAACGTTCCGAAAAGCTGATTTAAAAAAAACGAGTCGGGCGAGGGGTCAGACCAACAACGTGAGGGGGAGGCGTTGTGTTACTTTACATGTCGTGATGAGTCCACATTTTAGCAATTTTGAATCTGTGACTTTTAAAAGCCCCAGTGGAATGAATTGCTGATCTTTCAATGCAAAGCAACGGGCGCGTTGAAATCCAAGAGCAGTGAGGTTTGCTCTCATTTTGAAACACGTGCGTCCGTCTCAGACAGTACACAGCCAACAGCGTATTCAGTGGTGGTCTTTGGTTCTGGCCTTGCGGTTTATGGGGTTCGTGTATTGACCTTTTGTTCAATGACATTCCCAGTGACCCCCGGGTGACCCGAGGGGGGACAAATGATGCACTTCCCCTTCAGCTGTGGCCAGCTGGCCTAACCTCGTCTGTCTGATGAGGCCACCTGTCCCTGATCTCTCTCACTAATATACACACACACACACACAAACAAACACACAGCAGGTCAACGGTGGTTTAAGAAAACACACCAGGCGTGATGTCGTCTAATCCAGTTGATGGTTAAATGACAAAGTGGACGTGTCTTTGAGTAAACAAGAAATAAATAAAATGTCATCATATTGCCACTTCTTCGAAAATGACACGCGGCCACTTTTTTTCTCGTAAAATGCTGACATTTTCAATGAAAATCTTTCTTTCTAGGAATATGCGAGTGTACTAGCGAAGATGACGAAACATCAGAATTTGTCCCTGAAAAATACAACTTGTCTCAAATGACCATCCTCAGAAGGTGACAACTTTTTGAGGTTACATTTTTATGAACGATTGCTTCCCTCCTGAAAAATGACCTTGCTCGTCCATTTTTCTCCAAGTCATCCAGCCTAGCTGACGACCACACAACACGAGAAGGGCTCTCGCGTCGTCCGGGAAGCACGTTCGCATCGAGTCGAACACGACCAATTTCACCGTTTGCCCTCAGAGCGCAACAATGGCAAGTCACACTCGACGACGGCACACGAGCGAGGGAGGACTCACCCGGTCGAGAGCCCTCTTGAGCTGGTAGTGGAACTTGCCCTTGACCTGGTCCAGCAGCCGCTTGAGCTCGGCCTCCTCGGGCGAGCCCTGGTACTTCCTGCCCAGCTGCAGGTAGCAGGGCCACTTGGCCGAGTCGAATCCCCAGTGGCAGGTCCTCTTGTCGGGCGACTTGTGCGAATGCATGACGAACTTCTGCGGCGAGAAGAGCAGGTGGCACTCCACGCACTGGACGCAGGGCGCCTCGGGCTGCGCGTAGAACTGCGGCAGGAACAGGCCCTGGCACTTGCCCAGGCACCGGTGCTCCACCTGGAAGCCGGCCCGGCTTTCTTTCGGCGGGCCCCGGCCCGACGGCTCGGCGCCCAGCTCGGCGGGCGGCGCGGCGCCGGGGCGCAGCAGCGCGTTGCACAGCCGCTGCGCGTCCGTCAGCGTGATGAGGCCGCAGGACGGCGCGTTGAAGGGCAGGATGCCCAGCACCTTGAGGATGTGCAGCTGCTCCGCGTCGCAGCGCGAGCAGTACACGTAGAGCTCGTCGCACACCGTGTTGATCTGCTGCAGCGAGAAGTCGCGCAGCACCGAGTTGAGCACCTGCGGCAGGCACAGCCGCTTCTCGCCGCCCACCACGAAGCAGGAGATGGACTCGCCCTCCAGCAGCGAGTGGGTGAGCTCCGTGGAGCTGTCGCAGGGGACCAGCAGGGGGCCGCCTCCCAAGACGGGAGGGGAGGGCAGCGGGGGCATGCCGGCGTGGGAAGGCTCGAGGCCGGTGCGCGCCGAGAAGGCGGCCGGGCCCCCGAGGGAGCTCTGGCTGCTCAGCGTGAACTGGGCCAGCGTGTGTTTGAGCCCCGGGCTCAGGTCCAGCGCTTTGGCCGAGGCGGCCGCGTGCAACTCGGCTTCCGCGTCCGCGTTGCGGTGGGGAAGCTGCTGCTGCTGCTGCTGCTCGTGGTGGTGGTGCGTCTCGTCCACGCGCTCCCGCTTCACCTTGGCCGCCTTATGGAAGGACTCCAAGCTGCGGCGCTTCAGCTTGATCTCGGCCATCACTCGCTTCTTGATGGGCGCGTCCTCCAGACGCTCGCGGTACAGGCGCTTCATGCTGCCTTTGAAGGAGCTCAGGCCTTTGAAGGGGCTCTTCAAACTGGTCTGGGTGCTGGCCATGTCTGAGCGCTCTCTTATTGTTCTGGTGTCTTCCGGTTCGGCTTTTTTTTCTTTTTTGAATAACTCCTTTGGTTTATCCCGTCGGCTTTTTTTTTAAATGATGCTGATTCTCGAGTAGATGGAGACAAGCATGATGGAGAATTTTCGATGTTCCATTCGATATGCTTCCTGGTGATACAAAAAGAGTACGAAAAAAAAAAAAGTTAACAGAGGAAAATCAAAAATATGTACACCTCAACAGTTGTACTTTGCAAGAACTTTTTGGGGTAGATCTGATTAACTTTTTTTTTTTTAAGACGCATAGAATTGCCTTTTTCCCCTCAGAAAATCGCAGCATTATTCTTTCTGAAAATAAGATTTCACGCTCAAAATCAGACACACATTTTTCTCTCCCAAGAAAATAAAAAAGTAACAAACAAACATAACTTGATTCCAAAGTAATACATTTCCTGGGGGAAAAAAATATGACTTTTCTTGAAAAAAGAAAATAAATACAACTTCTTAAAAATGGCCACTTTTTCCCCAAAATAATAATATTTTTTCAAAAAAAATCTATAAATGATTAAAATGATCAAAAAGCACGAAATAACCTGCGAAGCCTTTCAATGCTTTACGGCTGCTGTTGCACTCGTGGGGATCGATGAGGTCAATGGCTGTTTGCATGCACCACTGAGCCAAATGGCCATTAACATAGTTCACACAAACATCTCTTGCAGCACTTGTAATTGAACCCAGGGTGGGATGTTTGTGTGTGGTGGTGAGGGGGGTGAAATTTGCATCGGATAGATCACTTTTTTCCCCAGCGAGTGAGCAAGTGAGAATCCCGACAAGCAAATCCAGCGGACCAGATACGACCGCCGCCACTGCCATTATCGAAGTTAATGCCGGCCCGCCGGCCGCAATGCTCCAAACATTTGCACATTGCAAGTGAAAATGCCTCCCCATTAAATTTAAAGAAAAAAAAAAACCATACTGTGCTTTTTACCCCATGCTGGCTCCATCAAGCGCATGAATAACACTCCATGAAAGTCTGAACAGAAGCCCTCCAGCCCACCCCCCACCACTCCCTCACAGCTTGACATACAACAGCCCGTTTTAAAGCAGGATTTACCATGTGGAAGACGGTATACAGCACTTGCAGTATCTATGTGCGTCACATTAGCTTGACAACACAATACGCCATTAGTCAGAATTTTACGAGGCACGGTGGTTCTCAGACTTTTTTTTAGTTAAGCTAAATCAAACTTGTACCTAAATAGAGGCTTCAAAGTACACTTTTCTCGAAGATTCAATTGAAATGAATTGGCCTTCAAAGTTAAATACAAGTGAAGAGTAATTGGGCCGCTTCCTCTACTGTGTCTGGTTTTAAATGCACTTGCGAACTTTTGAAGGCTTCACTTAATTCTTGCCATCAGTTGATATTGTCATTCACTCTAATATATTTGACTCAATGTAATGTTTTACATCCATTTTATTTTCTGTTGATTTATTTGAGTGATTCTTCTGCATACCACTAGAGGGAGCCCTAGTCGGTGATTCTGTGCGGTATACGGTACCATACTTGGACACATCTGGTTCGTTCAAACGGGTGGTACTTTTTCAAGAAATGGTTGCTTTTCAGGGGAATAACGTTTTGTTTTCTTTGAGAAAAAGGGATGTTCCAACGATTCCGAAATGAATAACATGAAATCAACACATTCTTGCATTTTTACGTGCAAAACAACAAATTACAAATGTAGGTAATAATTTGGAAGGCTGAAACAATACACCATTAAGACGCTAAATATGAAATTATCATTGCAATTTATTAGATTATGAATATATGGGGCCAGTGCCGGTTCTGACAGGGCCGCCACATTTTGGTAAAGAGTTGGAATTTGGGAGTCGGAGGGAATAAAATTGGGTTTTTTGGAAAAAAAAATACAGATTGGTCAAAGCTGTGTTTTGGTTGTAAAAAGACAAGTTTAAGGAAAAAGTTGTCTTTTTAGAGAGATTAAAGTGGTATTATTCAGAGTAAAAGAGTGTGAAGATTCTAATTGTGGTTGCATCATCTTGGTAACTTTCAATTCCCCACCAAACCGTTTGTTTCGGGACAAAAGAAACCAAAAAACCCCCACAAGCTATAATCGCTTTTCTCAGCTCTGGTGAGGGTGCCTGAATGCAACACAGGCCGGAGTGTGATTGCCAAACGTTAGCGTCCAGGACCAAGGCAATGAGGCACAGTCAGAGTATGCGAATTGTCTTTGTACAAACCAAGAAATATACTCCTCCCTAAAATATATGCCAAGCTTTTGTCTTTCAAAAAAATTGCATTATGTGGAGACAACGTTAAACACGATTAGCATTCCAGTAGACTTTGACATGCATTTGCTCCACAAGGTTTTGTGTGTGCAACGCCACTCATTGTTTTCCAGTCTAACTCAGATCTTATGTCTAATATCTCCATTGGCGTTCCAGTAGACTCTGACGTAGTTACTCCACAATGTTGTGTCCAACCATGTTTACACTACAGAGAGTTACGCCACTCGTTTTTTGTTTTTGTTTTTTTACCTAGTATGCTTTGGATCTTTTCACACCAATTAGCCTTTCAGGTGCCTCTGACACATGGATGCACAGAAAACTGCGGTGTGACCACATTTCCAGTCAGGTGACTTATTAGCTCGATTCAGTCTCCCTCGGATCTTACGTTGTATGGTGTCTTTCGTTCTACTGATGCTGATACAAGGTCACTCACAGTACTGTGTGCCTCCATGTCATTTCTGACCATTTCACTGCCTTGCTGTCCTTTATTTGCGTGACAAATTGCAACACAATGCTCATATTTGACAATATTTATTATTTTAACATTGTTATTATTTAATTTTAATGCCATAGATCAAGAGAATGTGTCCTTTAAAATCATATGAACTGTGTTAGTGGTTCTCCGTTGATACATTTAGTGTGAAATTGAAATGGAAAAAGCCAGTGCTGTCAGACCAATGGGCATGTGCATGCCTTGGCACATTTTTCACGGAGCATTCCCCTCGACTGGCGCACTGCTTCTGCGCAAAAGCCCGACCTTGATTCCGCAGCCTGGTTGATGTTTGCGGGCGTTTTCATGTCATAAAGCACCGCGAACACATGTCAACATGAGCTTCGCGGCGGGGTAATGACTTTTGCTCCACGGGAGAGGCGGTAGGTGGCGGTGAGAGGCAAGTATCCCGTAAACAGCAGCGTTTTGGGGATCATCCGATAGCGACCAACCCAAGTCCGAGGAACCGCTCTTAGCTGCTGCAAGGACGCCGCATAGAAAAGCTCCTTCTCCAGTCTCCCCCCCCCCCTCCTCCCGCTTCGACTGCGCTGGTATGCAGACAGCGCCGATAATGACATTCACTGTCTGCACTGCCCAGTCTCGACCGGGGAGAGCCGCCGCGGCCACCACCGCCACCGCTACCACTACCACTACTACTACAGCCAACGCATATCGGTCCGGGCTTCACTTTGAGCGGGGTGCCCCCACAAGTGTGTCACTGCGGTCTACTTCGCGATACGTTCAACGACAAAAAAAAAAATATATATATATATATATATATAATAAAAATAATAATCCTCATTTGAATTCATGTCAGGCTTGCGTTTAACACGCGAGGGACGGTTGATAAAAGTAACCAAAAAAGAGAAAAAGGATCAAAACGAAACCAGAGGCTAATTTATGCGGTGAAAATGCTAGTTAGCTAGCCATGTACAACACTCGGCTCAGCCTAAAAAGACACAGCAAAAGTGGCTTATAACAAGACAGCTACGCGGTAGTTAGGGCGGCGGAGAGCAGGCGGAAGGTGGGGGGACTCAAGAAGCCCTGCGCCGTCTCGCCAATTCGGCCGACCACGAGTACGACAATGAACACTGTGGTGTGTTCTCCGAAGGTCCGGCGGAGAACGGCCGATTCGCTCACCTCCCCCAGACGTAGAGCGACACGGCGGGCAACGCCGAGCAAGCTTCAGCCTAGCTCCTATCCCACCGACTCTTGCCCTTTCGTAGTCAAACAAATCACTGCGACACTCACTCCTACAAGTATATTGTTTGACAAACGGGAATACTACAAAAACGTGCAGTAAAAAAAAAAAAATGACTGAAGCACTTGCCTGCGTCTGCTTGGACCTCACTCGCCGGGGGTCTTCTCCGTACTGGAAAAGCCTCGCGGCGGCGGCAGAGCGTCAACAAGATGAGGCTACACCACCACTACAGCCCTGTGACGTCACGCCACATCGAGGACGAGAGGCGGAGACGTCATCACGTCTACAGGAAACGATGCGGGGGTGTCTCTCTCTCTCTCTCTCCCTCTCTTCTCTCTCTCTCTCTCTCGCGCACCCTGTCTGTGTGTGTGTCTGTCTGCCATTTCCTCCTGACTGCACTTAGGAGACAGGTTTAACACCGGCGGGACTATTTAAAGGGGAAACGTTGTTCGCCACTCGGTTTTCGGTAGAGTCATTTTGGTTACAATGTGCATTTGGGAGCAGCCCCTGAAATACTTTTGACAATTCAACCTCTGAAGAAAGTTCCATTGAGCAAGATGAAACTTGGTTGACTTGTCTATAAGGCATCCTCACCAAAAAAAAAAAAAAAAAGTTTCATGAAACCTTGCCTGAAATGACAGGCCGTCTGCAATTTTGGTTGACGCAACCATTTTAGGGGTATTTTAGTGTAAATATACATTTGGTAAAACAGAATTCAGTTTCCCTTAGCACCATAAGATTGAATAGCATCGACATGCCTGAAAAGACATTGATAGACTGCCATTTTGGTTTGAAGTGGTCCTTTCAAGCATCAGTTTGGTTACAATTTGCTTTTATGATAACTGTTGTGTAGCGCACTTTGTGACAGCTGCAGCTGTTGGGAAAGCGCTACCTAAATAAAGATACATTGTATTGTATTTGGTAGCTCCCCCTGGAAAATTTGAGAAACTCGCCTCCGAAAGTCGTTTTTATCTAATAACATGAGATTCGATAGCAATGTCTATCACGAGTACACCCACAAAAAGTTTCAAGTGACCATGTAGGCTACAAGCTATCATTTTAGTTGAGCACACTGTGACTGATGGCACACGGAGAGAACGCGCCCTCTCAAACAACCCCGTGGGCTGTTTTGCAGCAGCTGCTGTGATGTGACAGCAAGGTCAGCAGTTGTATTATGAAAGCAGATATGAGTAAAGCCCCCCCCCCGACAACAAGAGGTGTAGTGGGGGTAGGCATTGATTTTACTGTAATAACACAGCGTTGTACAAGTGCTGCGCGGGGACTCAATTCATCTGTTACGTGCGCTAATGTGACGGTTCATTAGAAAACAAAATGAGTGAGAGATGAAGCCGAGACGCAGAGAAGCCCCTCCTTCGGCTGCTGCTCTGTCTTAACTGTTATCGGACTGGGTACAGTAGCGATAAGTGGAACCCCCCGGGAGGCAGGCAAAACGGCGGCGTCTTCATACGTCGTTATCGATATGGCATATTAAAATGTGCCAGGGCTCGTTCGGGGTCTCTGAATGTAGTTTGCGGTAATGATGCTTGATGACAACATGCCGGATTCGCCGAGGACGGTCTGAGGGAGATTCTGTTTTCTTTGTGAACATACAAACAGGTTCGTGAAACAATGCTCAACCACCATGAGAGGAATGCAATTCATTAAATAGGTTTTGGCAGAGAGTGATTTTACTAGGGAGATAATGCGATCAATGGTCTATAATTCCAAATGACAAGAAACGATAACCATTGCGACTGGATTTTTTGTTTTTCTTCACTCCCCTAAAACCAGTTTTAAACATGAAATTCAGTAGACATGTATGCCTGTATCATGAGAAGAGCCACATGAAGAACTAACGCCTGACAATTTTCCACTTTGATTTGAGGTGACCATTTTATTTTGGTTTCTTTTCACCCTACCTTTTGGGGGGGGAAATGGGGGGGGGGGAGTACCCGGAATTGAATCTATGGAGTCTGAAAAGATAAATATGTCTTTGGGAGTGAATTCATGCTGAAACGTGCTGCCATCCAAGCAATATCTTTTTGATGCACTAGACAAATTTGAGGTTTCACCATTTCATGTGAGCGGAGCATGGCGGCGACGTTTGGTGACTTGCCGTCCAACAGAAAACTCTCATAAGCCCACTCACTCCACAAGATCACAGTTAAGCCCCTGCCAAGTAAAACACCTTCAGTTGTAGTCTACGAGTGTGTGCGCTTGTGCGTGTGTGTTTTACAAAAGGGACGGCGTTTAGCACGGGACTTCCGCTACCTAATTAGTCCCTTCGGGGTTGGGTTAAAGGGATAAAACATCCGACAAGATAAAAGCAATTAAGAGGAGGAGGATGCGTTTTTCTGTCATACATTTATCTGATACAAGGTGAATACCTCAGCTGTATGTCTGCCGTGGGGTGAGGAGCAGTCACATGGCCTGGGGGGATGCAGCTTATGCAAAAGCAGCCACGGGAACAATGTCAAACAAACCATTGTGGGGATTAGCAATTATGCAAAGACATTTGTTCGAGATGGAGTCATTTTTTTCACCCACAAATGTGATTCACCTGGGACTGCGTGTGAAACTTACCGCCCCCCCCCCCCACCATTGTTCCGACTTACTGCAGCCCACAAATCAATCGGCTTCATTATTTGCAGCACATCATCATTTCCGTGACCCTTCGGTTCTTGCGGGGCGTTAGGTCAGAAAAAGGGGTGGGGGGGGGGGGGGTCAGGTGTCAATGACTCTCAAGGGATGTCAAAAGAGGAGGTGGGAAGGTGGGAGGGCTGTTCTGAAAAGATGCAGCTATGGACATGTAACCAATGGAGGGAAGAAAAAAAAATCAATTGTAACAATCGGATTCCCCTTATTTTTGCTTTGAATGCAAGCCCATCCAAACTAACTAGAACACATTTGATCCAAGAGAGGACTTAGGTCAGCGAGAAAACGGGAGCGCTGCAGCTGAGCGGAGACTGGAGTCACATTAGCAGGTGAGCACGACTAACGCCCCCCTTTTCACTGCACGGTACATACTCCTTTAGGGGCAGTTAATTCCGAAGAAAAACATTTTATCTAAGAGGAACCTAAGGGCCACGAAAAGGCGAATGTTGCTCATGTTCAAAAGCCCGAGGTTGTTCAAAAAGTTGATACTGAACCCCCACAAATGTGATGAAAATTTAGCTCCAAAACAGTATCACTTTGCGACATTGCAGCGAAAAAACGGGAGCGCAGCAGCAAAGCGGAGACTGTGGTGTATAAGAATGCAGCTTCCAGGGTAGGCCAACTTCAGCACGTTTGTTTTTGTCACTGGGCTATTGGGAGTGTGTGCCCGAGGTTGTTCCAAAAGTTGATACTGAACTCCCACGAATTTGATGGAAATTTAGCTCCAAAACAGTATCACTTTGCGACATTAAATTTGGTAGGCTTGTCTATTATGAGTAGACTGACAAAATTCATCCTACTTGTCTCTAAAAAGATTCATCCAGTTTATAAAAATAACGGCAACATTTTTTTTTTTTACCACAAGGAGAAATAAAATGTTTATTTGACTGTTTTGTTTTCCTTTTGCACATTAATAATAAAATGTCAGCAGAGTCCTGCAGGTGCCTTCCAAAACACACCCAGTAACATTTCATAATTGAGTGATTACAAATAATAAAAAGTAATGACAATAAAAATAAAAAATAAAGGTAACAGACAGAATGTTTTTCTCAGAGGTTTGCGATCTGTCTCTTAGTGTTTTAAGTTAGTGGAATAATTCAGAAAATAATCTACAGATGTGTGTGTGTGTGTGTGTATATTTATTTTTGAAGAAAACAGAACAGTTCTAAAGCCACAATCAACTGTGCTTCAACCCGTTGAATTTTACGTGGCGTGGTGAAATAAGAGGGGGGGGCGGGAGAGAAAATGCATGATGGGATATTTGCACATTTCCAAAAATAGTGGTCTTATTTCACATCTAAGTAGATATTATAGTAAGTGAAAATGGAGTTTAAAAAGCATCTTGGAGAAAATCTAGAGAACCGAGTCAATGTAAACATTGACTCACGCAACACTTGAATTCGTAAGAGCCTGTTTATGTGCCTCGGTCAGTGCTGCTGTTTTGGTTAGCAACCGCTTTCGAGTCAGTGATATTACAGTGGCTACGTATTTTTTTTTCTTTCCTGACAGATGATCCATAATACTGCGGTGAAGTTCGATACGTCTCTGAGAGACCATTTTTGGTGGTAGGTGCTATTTTGGTTTGGAAAAGTTAGGAGGTGTTTATTTTGTGGCAGGTGTATCTAGACGGCTACTAGTTGAAAAGACATGGCCATTTTTAGATAGATACAAACCAGAATTTCTTTTTTTTTTGGGAGGGGGGGGGTCCTGTGTGAATGTTTAAGTCTGGCTAATGGGCTACGTTTGTTCACAGTATTTTAGCCGACTCAACTCCAGTTCTGATTCTCAAGTTGCACACGGACAACACACATAGCGGCTGTAGTTAAATTAAAAAAATATAGACATATTCATATTTTGAGAAAGAGGCATGATGTCAATGAATGAGCTTCGATTTTAAAAAGTGGCTAACGTTAATCAACAGCAGTTTCATATATACAAATAAAATGAGTCTGTGTACAGTAAGTAACCTTGGAAGAACTTGATAAAGAGGCCCCCAATGACACTAAGGTATCAGTGCAGTTTTATATTTATACATTTGTAGGTTTGTATAGAGAGCATATAAAAATAATTCATAAAGAGAAGACTTAAGGGCGAGTGGTTAGAACTGGCAGAGTGTGAAACTGCTTTTGGCAACAACGAAAACTATGAATGATGACGTCGCTGGGTCGCCTCGTAACCACGCAGCATGAAGACACTGAGATGGCACGTGCGTATGTGGGTGTGTGTGTGTGTGTGTTTGTCAGTGTGTGCATGCGCGTCTCCCTTCACACGCACTCCTCCGCCGACATGAGCAGCGGGTTGATGTACTCGAAGCCCTCGAACTCGGACTGATCGATCTTCTTCACCACGTCGCTGCACACAACAACAACAACAAAAGGACGATCCATGGATTCATTGATTAATTCACAAAGGCATTTAATTCGAGCGATTGGCGAATCGTACTCGTCGTCAGGCGTCAGCTGGATGGGCTCGTTGGTGAACTGGGCGTCGAAGTTGTCCAGGCCGAATTCACCCGAGATGTTGGGCTTGAAGGGAGGGACCACCTGCTTTTGCTCCAGCTGTAATCACAATCACATACAGTATACGGCGGGGGCTTGAAATATGCCTTGAATTCATTCCGTGGCCACACTCTTTGCCAACCGAAATGCCAATCCATCGCACCCCGCTGCCCCCCAAAAAAGAAAAATAGTAAAAATTAAACTGAACCCTAATCTAAATACACAATGTTATGGGGAATGTAACCTTTCCCGCTGTTGATTCATTTTCTATTCAGCGGCTTTATGAACGACTTGAAAGACCACATGAACATGAGTTTCATTTCACCGCTGTGATGACACAACACAGGAATGTCACTCCCTATGAAATATGAGACTTTTAGTCATTATTATGACTCGGGAACAGGAAGCGCAGTAAAACAACACTCTGGACCATTTTTAGTCTGCGTTGGACTCATGCTGAGATTCCTGTCAGTCGTTTCTGAGTATCTAAAAAAAAAGTCGATGTGACTCAAAACACATGGACAAGAAAGAGGGAGTGGCTCCAATTAGCGTAGCATAGACTAACACCGACTCCATTTACATCCAGGCAATGACCCATTTCAAACCGGAATATGAGCAGAATTGAACAGAATTTTGTGAAGGCAAAAACACAAATATGCTCTTATTCAGGTTTTGTAATATGACCCCTGGGTTAGACCTTTTCTAATCCGAACAATTGGTCGTGACTGACAAACACGTGACTGAATACCTCTATTGAAAGGGACATTGGGTTTGTGTTCTGCGCATGCTCTTGCTCTATCGGCGAGGAATCTTGGTCTTTGCAATACAGGAAGTACTTGTATGCGGAAATCATTGCCATAGCGAGCCTAATTTGAAAACATTGACTTGGCCGCGGCATTTTCACGTTATATTCGCTCTCTGTGGTGAAAATAACACCATTTTTACACATATACGTGTGTCTAGAAGTCTGTACGTCTGTCGCGCAACTCGCCGGAAATACTCCAGTAGAGGTAAACGGTCCTGGCGAAACTCAAGCGCAGCTCGGTTTTGGAGCGAGGAGGAAACTGGCTGCTTTAATCCCGTGTTGAGTGACATGACATGAGTGACGTCTATTTGTGTCATGACGTCCGTGCGTTGCCGTTTAAATCGAGTTGTGTAAACGCGGGAGTGACTGTCGACTCACGTGTGTAAACGGGTTATCCCGAAGGTTTCAGAAACCAGAATTTTGACCTTAACCCAACATTGACTGTATGTTAAACGTAGTCACAGTAAAAGCACTTGAGTTCAGTGTGCTCTTCTGACTTATGTGGCGGAAATAATTTCCTTTTACGTTTCAGCTTTCCCGCCTTGTCACACCGCCTCTCTGCTCGTCACTACGTTCCTGCTGACCTTCTTTTTCTTTTTTTTTCTTTCTTAAAAGTCCTCCTGCCACAGTGCTTCTATGCAGGGCGGTCCAAGTATCCACTCTTCCTTACGACGATCAATACGTGGATTGTCATCACTTTGGAAATGTTCACTTTGCATTGTCAGGCTAAACAACAATGTTTTTAACTAATGATGTGTAAAAAGTGTGTCACGTTCATGTGCAAACATCCCCCGAGTAAAGCTCAAAAAAGGTAAAAGACTCACAAGGTCCCAATCGACATTTCTGAAGAAGGGATGGCCCATGATGTCGGCAAAGCCTGTCTGAGGGTGGCAGCCCAGACGCTCTTTGGGATCCTGCAATAGAACGGGGGCGGGAAGGTGAGAGACAGGTAAAAGTGTGAGAGTGCAATAACAAAATGGCGAACAGACAGAGAGGCGAGAAGCCGCAAATATATGTGTTAAGATCAAACATATATTTGGAACCGGATGAGAGACGGCAAAGTGAGTGGGGAAGAAGCGGTGCTATGTGAGACAAAGGCCATAAGATCGTTCAGTGTTCATTCATCCAAGCACTGCCTACCTTGTTGAGGAATCCCTTAAGGACGCTGGCAGCTTTGACAGACAATGAGCGGGGGATTCTTATCTGTTTTTCCAATATAACTGCAACACACACGCAAAAACAGGGATGAGGTGAGATCAATGACGAGAGCATGTCCACAAGATGACATATTGTATTATGTATTGTATTGAAAACACTTTCCAATGCGACATGAAAACTCATCAAAGAATACACCAAAGGTGAAGAATATAACAGTGGTCACAGAAATAACCTGAATCTGACAACCATAAATCAAAAAAATAAATCAATAAAATTCAATCAAAATGAAACCTTACGTTTGAATTGTGGTTCAACAAAATGATTTAACAAAATAATAAGGGGAGTTGTTTGCATGTATCTTGCTGAGTTCTGATCCTGTATGAAAGGCTTGATATTGCAACACACCAACCTCATTCCCGAAATGAAATCAACTGACAGACTAGAGCGCGTGCGCATTCGCAGGTTCCCTAGTAAGCAGATGGCGGACACGAATGTGTGAACTAGATTTCCATTACCTTGGAAGAGGTAGTCTTCTGTGTTCTGGTCAGGATTGTCGGAGCTTCCCACGATGTCGAAGGGCGATCGGCCTGCCATCATCTCGAACATCAGCACGCCCAGCGCCCACCAGTCCACGCTGAAGCCTACACACAAATTAGAAGAAGCGCTTTAGATCAGACTTCTGACACTCCGCTTTACTTTTAATCCTTCCAATACTTGGTCTCACTGTTACTATGGCAACCTGTCCAGTGTGGAAAAGATCAGTAAATGTGTTCTCACTGACTAAACCTACAAGTACTAATGCATGAAAATGTCTTACTTAAGCCTTGCGGAAAGCTTGGATTAAATCAGGGATTCCCAAACTGTGATGCGCGCACCCCTGGGGGGGGCTTCAAGTGTGCATTTTTCTTTTTAAACTCCAACTGATCACGTTTTGCATGCTTGTTTTATGAGGCTGTATGTGGTAGAGAGGGATACAGGCGCACACACGGGAAACACACAGACACATATACACACACACACACACACACACACACACACACACACACACACACACACACACACACACACACACACACACACACACGCACACAAACGCTGCCCACTACACCAAATAAGCAGTTTGTTTTTATTTGATAAATCAGTGTGCATTTAAAAACACACACGCACACTCTATGCCTTATTCAAAAGATATTACATATTTGGTGTGCAAATATGTTTCTTGAACATTTATTGGGTTGGGGGGAAAAAAATGGATTGGCCTAGTGCAAATATTGCCCACATGTACAAAGCAATATGATGGAGCAATATGGACACACACACATACATACATCCCACTATACTGATGATTAGGCTTGACTTTCCAACCTCTATGCTGCGTTTTTGACCTCCAATGATGCAACTAACACAGAAAAGTGTGTGCGTGTTCTCTGCAAGGGCGGATTAAAATTACTCATGTAATTTGTACTCCCTTAAGGATCATCTTAATATCTGCACATAAAAAAAAGGTTTATTAGGAGAGGTCTCCCTGCGTCTGCATCTAATTAAACACCCGAGCATAATGAATTTAAAAAAGTTAATTTTAATAGTCCCTCAAAGCAAGCATCTGGCAGGAATGCCTTTACAGTGGTGCCTTCAGATAAGATGAACCCGACAAAGAAGTTTTTCTAGAAACGAGCCATTTATCGGCTGACTTTTTTCTTTGATTTGCAGGCGCCAACTTGAGATACGAGCTCCTTATGTGTTTTCATGGCCTATTCAGATTGGCTGTGTATTTAAGTTTAGGTGGTGAAACATATTTGTTGGGTTTCCACCATTATCGGTAACAATTTTCCTGCATAACTTGCAAACGATTGTATTTTGCTGTATATCTGACCTCTTGTAGCCAAATCACCTCCACTCGACAGAGGCCGCTCCCATTTTAGGCACTAAATCCTCATTTGAGGACAAAGTCAATCCTGCGGTACTGCTCTCGCTCTCCATTATTATTTATGCAGCAGAGAACAATGCGCGTACATCCAAAGGGAGTCAAGAGACAATATACGCTATCACAGCCCGCTCGTATAAATTTCGTGACTTTTCAAAATGTAATTAAACAAACAAAAAAAAATTAATAAACCAGTAATATCATCCAAGGCATGATATCGAACACACCTAGCGTACGTCCTGACCTTTTCTGATTTAATTTAAAAAAGTTCAAGCCAAAACATCGTGCAGGAATAACGTTATTTTAATCAAAGCAAAAAAAGAATGTGTACTGTATCCAAAATGAAGGCATTCAAGCAAGCAAGGTCCTGTTGCTATGATACCACAACATTTGTAGTGGAGTGACACTGTAGTGATGCAGAAACTGGTATTTTTAGTGTCTTTAATTTGCTTTTTTTCTTTTAGGGGTGGGGTGGGGGGGATATTGTGAAGATGCTTCATCCTGCCCACGTCACAACACATTCAGATTTTTTGGCTTTTGGGTCATTCTGTTTTTTGTTGGTTTTGTTTGCAGTTATATATTTTTTATACACACAAGGTGTTCTATTTTGACAAGAAAGCGTCTAAGCTTTCAGTCAAAAAAAGTAACTTGGGAAACTGAATGTGTGTGAGTGTCAGCGTGTTTGTTGTCCCCACCGTAATCTTCTCCTCGGAGTATTTCGGGAGCGATGTAGTTCGGGGTGCCGCAGAAAGTGCTTGTCGTATCGCCGGGTCTCAAGCCCTCCTGAACAAAACAACACATCAACAAATATGACAGCAGCTCACTTTTGTTTATGACTGTGCATGAGCAGAAACTCACACGGACAAACACATAGAAATTCATGGCCATGCACAACACACACACACACACGAAGACACACGCAGAGACACGTACCTTGCACATGCCGTAATCTGTGAGTTTGATGTGTCCCTCAGAGTCGAGCAGCACATTGTCCAGTTTGAGATCTCTGTAGATGATGCCGCGCTCGTGGAGGTAGTTGAGCGCCAGACTGATCTCTGCAGAATAGAATCTGAGAGAAAAAAAAAAAAAAAAAACCCCATTCAACTCGAAAACCCCCAAATTGGAGGAAGGCCACGTAACATCAGTGAGCAAGCCTACCTGGCGTGCTCTTCTGGAAGCTTCCGTTGTCTCTGCATGTGGAACATGAGGTCGCCACCATTCACATATTCAATAACAAAGAAGAGTCTGGGGAGGGAATATTGACGAAAGTTCATTCTTCTGTTCGCAATCATACATAGTCATTTGACAGCATGTCAAAGCAATTGCTAAATATGACATGAATACATTGCCTACAAGTGGCCGAGAATGGTGGAAGGGGTGACATCAAATCATTTAATCCAACTATCCATCCGGACTAGGTTGGGACAGTGGTGATCAAAAGTCTACACACCCCGGTTCAAATGCCAGGTTTCTGTGCTCGAAACAAACGAGGCCATTTCTCCGTTAACGTGACCTCCAGCGTAACGTTGAATAAATCACCGGAAATGATGACCTTTTGTCATCGTGTCCTCTCCAAACAATTAAGGACATTCCAACCTGATTTTACAAATCATAGGTCACCTTGCCAAAAAGTGCCTCGTACCTGCTTTCTGTCTGGAAGCAGGAATGCAGGCCCACCAGGAAAGGATGATTCGACGCTTGCTCAAAAACGTGTTTTTCTGTCTGGACCCAATCGATGTCCTGAAAGGAGATGCACCAAGATGCCAACGAGAGGTCATTGTGACATTGTGTTCATGTGCTGAAAAGCTGAATAAGCAGCGTTGTCATCGACTCGCGTGGGCGACGGCGGGCGGAAAGGGCCCAGCCAGAAGAGCCCATCTCATACATCTGGACACGCCGCTGGCGAGGCCCAGCGACAATAGAACACTAGGCCATCGACCGGCTGCCGCGTGTCGATTTGTCAATTGCGCTAAGAGCGTCAAATCAAGACTAACTACTCGCCTCTCGCACAGCATATGCTGCCGATTGATTCCCGAAGACGCCGCGATTAATCCACACCTTCTCGGAGGCACTGACGGGGTCGGAGCATTTGACAAGATAGCTGAGATGGATGTTGGAGCGCGCCTGTCTGTTGTGCTATAAATAACAGCGCCCACCGGTCGTGCTAATTGCATTCACTTCACCAACGCGCTCGGACGCACAAATAAGACGACTGCACTGTTAATTTGGCCTCACATCTACTTCGATGAAGGCTTTGTTTTCGTGTCTCTATGCACACTAACTTTAAGTTGGCTTGCTTTTTCCTTCTCTAATGGCACTCTAAAGTTAGATTTATACTACGGGTCCAAGTTCACGTTCCGATTTAAGGTCACTTCAATGTCAAGTGACACACAACGGCTTTCAGTCAAAGAGTACCGAATCAAATCACACACAACTCCACAAGCGTCAACACAGATGAATAGCTTTGGCAAATCAGAAATGATTCCTTTCACCCGACATTACATATTACAACATAGATGCTTGATGATGCGCGCTCACCTCGTCATCATTGACCAGTTCCTTCTTGACCACCTTCATGGCGTAGATGCGCTCCGTCTTCTTCAGCTGCACTAGAAGCACTTTGGCGTAGCTGCCTCGTCCGATCACGCGCAGCAGGTCGAAGTCGGCCAGGCCGAGGCTGGAGGGCGACTTCCCCGTGTCCCGACTGTTCCGTGCCTGACCGGGGGGTGAGAGATGGCAGGGTACTTCATCAAACTGACAATATGATGTGGCGACACGGATATATATTGACTTTCCCCCAGAGAAAGTTCAAAACATAAAATAAAAATCAACTCAACAACAGACAGCTTGAGTCACTTATATCTCAAGACGCCACTGTACATTATTTTGTGGGGGGGGAATCTATCAATAGTGCTAGCAGTTGGTAATTCTAATGTTTGTTTGTTTGTTTTTTAAAGGCTTGAAAGCAGTTTTATGTATTTCATCTTGTTCCCTAACTGGATTGAAATTTGGACCAATGTCTGACCAAGACATGCACCAAACCTTCATTTTTAGCAAGTAGCTATAAACCGACTTGGTACTAAACATGCTGAGGATGAGACTTCATACAGCTCACAAAGACACAACATTACATTGTTGGAAGCTAGCACGACTCCTCGTAGTGGCAATGGAACTACAGACCCCATTATCACATTCCTCTGGAATCTTCCTGCCTCTATCCTTTTCTGCCCTAATCTCGAGTTGCAGCAAGACGTTCCAGTCGCCGATCCAACTAACCGTGCGCTGAGACAATCCCATCCCCGGGCGCAGATAAGATCGTTCAGCCGCCCCTCTCTTATCTCAGACCATCTGTGCGTATCTGACTCCCTGTCCCTCTGCGGCTGTACCAAACGTGCCCAAAACTACACACATCGCAATTAATCAGCCGGCTGTGTTAGGAGCTGTGATAAAAGGCTACTTTATTTGCAACGCTATGGGAAATCAATATAAGAGGCACCGCAACAGTGACTGCAACTGAATGCTCTGATGTGCGTATTTTCACTTCCAGCTGCCTCTTAAACATGTTGAATCAAGAAGTTCCTTGACGAGGTGTTGAACTTGAATGAAATTTAATTGATTTAAAAAAATCTAAGTCTGGAGTCAATCTTCAGAGGCGGTACGTACACATTTGGTGAGTTCACCCTTCCTGCGGGGGCTGACTGTACCATCATCAGTTGACTTTTCAGGCCTCGTTCTGACGTAATTATTGGACTACTGCACGCGTCAATCATTATAGCAGCACTGGGAGTCGCAACTCTGCGCTATCCACGTTGTCACGGCTTTGGAGAGCCGGTAATTGCTTGGATATTTCTCATTTGTGGTTCTGGCATAAAGATAAATTCAAAACGAGGGATTATACGCATTTCAATTTGAAACAAATCTATGAGATCTTTTGCTAGCATGTCAGTGATTTTACACACATATCCAACAAGTCCCGTTGACAGAGTGAGTGTCACAAACGAATGGCTTATTTAAAAAATTAAAAAGATCACCTCTTTCTCCTCTCCGTCATAAGTCAAGCTTTCTCTGGAGTCTTTATTCTGAGGGCCTGAGCGAGAGAGCAAGAGACAGAGAGAGAGAGAGCGAGACCGAGAAAGAGCGAGAGTGTCAGACAGACAGCAGCAGGAGAGGGGGAGGCAAAAAAACAGGAAATAGAGAAACTAGGTGAGAGACAGTCATGCTTTGTCACTTTGTTCACAGCTCTGCTGGACCTGAATAATTTCTACTTCCATTTGAGTCGGGGAGAGAGAGAAAAAAAAAAAAGCAATTTTCCAATATGACCTTGTTGGGAATACAACACAAATGCCCCGCGCGACCTGGGAGATGCCTCCGGCCCAAACTATAATTGAGACAGGCGCACAAACACGAACCCATTGATAAAAATAGGAAATGTTTGTTGAAAAATGAATTCAACAAATGAAAATACATTTTGGAATCAAAACAGATTTAAAAAGATCAATACATTTAAATAAATATGAAAGTATTACACGATGCAACTTTATATCTTAAATTATATTGGAAAAAAAAATAGAAAATAAAATATAGATTGTGGAAATAGTCTTAAATATGCCACTGAATTCAAACAGTGACATGAGAATTATTGACCATAATGGACTGCAATTAAAATGTTAATAAATGCCATGATGTTGGTCGTGGTTTTGAAAGCGCACAAGTACCTGGCTGTTCCGATGGGTCTAACTGATTGGGTGGCTGACCAGGCATAATTGGCTCCTAAAAAAGCGCAAGTCACAGCACTGAGTGGGTGAATGTTATGGGTGACAAACAATGTAAAATAAATAAAAACAAACGGCACATCACCTGGATCATGGGCCGGCCGCATTCTACAGTAACCAGCTTGTGGCACTTTTTGTGCACCAGCAGTTTGCAGTTGATGCACTTGTAGCCTTGTCGGCCGAGACCCCAGATACGGTCCGTACAGATGGCACAATGCGCTCTCTGTTGACATCGGTGAGAGGAGCAAACAGACATGACATTTAAAAATGGATACGACCCCCCCCGCCCCCCCGAAAGACACCATAATTGCACAAATAGTGGCCGGGGGCATTTATTTACTGAACTACCGACAAGGTGAGGAGTCTGTTGACTGGTAGGGTGCAAATGTTTGGCCACTTTTAAGAAGCCGTCACAGTTTCATCACTCTGCGACATTTTCATGATGACTGAGTGTTTCTGATGAGTACACCAAAGAGACCTTATGGTGATATTGACCCTTGAAAAAGATAACAATGCTTCCCACGAGATGCAAACCGTAAAAAACACAAATTCAGAGCATTCGGTGCGATGTCGTACCCTGTTAAAACGTTTGGCCTGAAAGGCATGGCCACTGGCGAAATAGAGCTTCCTCCAGCGCCGCGCTCCTCTCCGATATATGGACTCTGTGGGGCGGGAAGCGAAAGAGAGGCTGTGCTAAATTGCTTGCTTTCCAACTTGTTCTCGTGTCAAAACAATTCCCCCACGTTGGAAGTAACGTTAAGTGAATACATTTGTTCGAGGGTCGGACGACTTGAAGCAACATTTGAACATCACTAACTGCCATACAGGTGAAAAGAGAAGATCACCAGAATGCTGCCTCGAGGTACAAGTTTAATAAGCCCCATGACCATGTTTGGAACTCAAAACACTTGTATTTCAAATCACCTTTTCCAGATGAAATTAATTAATAATTATGATTAATGCCCCCCAACCAACACCCAAAATAAATATTTTTTTAAAGTGTATTTTAAAAAATACACTCCATGATATTGTACTTTAGAAAAATATGACCATGTTTGGAACTCAAAACACTTTAAAAAAATACACTCCATGATATTGTACTTTAGAAAAACATACGCTAATGACATAATTAAATAGAATGAGAAAAAAATACGTTTTTGTCACATTGCATTTACTCTCCTTGCCAACCCTTGCAGTTAGGATGCATATTTAGCTTTTATATCAGTGTAAGAACAGACAGCTCTACTCCGCATTGAGACGTCCGAACTCCTCTCCACTCATCAGTACGGCGCTAATTGTAGTTTTTCTCAGATGATCAAGAATATAGAACTTCTACGGTGTTGCTGCACCATTCGAAAGCCCATATCTGAAAAATAGCTTGAAAATCGAGTCACTCATATCTCAAGACACCGTTGTAGGACAGCACAAAATGAAAGTTGATGTCATGCAGAGTAAAAACAAAAGAGTTGAACTTACTGTCTTCACCAGAACACGGCATGCCAGGCTTCTCTGGTATACACGGGAACACTGAAGGGGTGGGGGAAAAGAACACTATTTCAGGTCTAATGAGTTTCATCAACTTAAATGGGACCGCGTATTGAAAATGGACTTTTTAATTGCTCGTACTGGTGTACAACTAAGCAGGTGGGTCTCTGGAGTGCCTGTCCAGCCATCAAGTGTGAAATTAAACAACCAAGTGTTGCCCATTTGACAAATTGCCTCTGCTCGTGCACAAGTAGCCTTCTCGCCCCGTTCTAACTCCCAGCTCCGACACTGGTCGTCATGGTAACACAAAGTAGTCCAGAGCCACAATCGAGCAAGGGCCAGAATTCAGCCATTGCACTAGCATAATAAAACAAAATGGTAAGTAGACCCACGCACTCCGTTTTTGGGGGTGATGCACCCATTAGCAACCGGCGCTAGCTTTTGACTAGTGGCGGGGCAGTTATCACCTGTTGCACGTGGCTCAGAGGACTGGCTCTTGCCACTGTGCCAGCAAGTGTGTGCCTAACAGCAGGCTGGATCTTACCAGCGAGCGCATGTCGAATGTCTAACAGCGGAATGGATTTTGTTTGGCCATCTCCTCAACCATGTCGCGTGGAAGACTGGCTCTCATGTGTTCACCAGCTAGTGTGTCCTGAACTTGTGGAGGCTGCAGTCATACACCACACCGTGTGTGCGTGCGTATGTGTCAGTCGCAATTTATGCCCCTTAAGATATCTGGGGGAGCTGTTTTGAATTGTGGAAAAGTGCTTACTCCTTTGACTTAATAATGTTGAATAAGAAAGCAGTAGTAAAGACCACCTGCAGCCAAAGTGTCACCTCAAGCGTCTGACGCGTCGTCAGTGCGGTGCATGCAGGTTTTTGGGACGCGCAGGGATGACCTAAGAGAAGCTGACAAATGTGCGTGTGCGTGTGTGTGAGACACAAGGAGCTCGAGACCAGAGGCAGTGCGAGTCAGAGGCGAGGCGTGGGCCACAGCCGAGAAGCTCGTTAGCGAGGGACCCGGCCGCCATCCTCCCCCCCTGCTGCGTCTGCTCTTCTGCCACCACCCTCTCTTGCACTCGTGAACCTACTCCTCACCTCTGATTCAAAGAAAACGTAACATTAAACACCATGTGAACGCCAGCCCCCGCCGGTCACACACTTCCAGACGCCTGCCAATCAAATGTTGGTTACACATACGCCCATTCCGACCTCTGCATCAACGCCGATTGTGCGTAGAAGCGACTAAGAATAGCTGCAAAGTAGCCAGCGGGATCGGAGACGCATGTCAGGGGCAGAAAAGCGGTGATGTTCACACTTCGGTGCATCATCAAACATATGCTTGATTTCTCCTCCACCTTGCTGTGAGCGATGGCGCGCGTGCACAGATTGTAGAAAATAAAAAAGGAAGTACATTGGCTGGACAAATGATAGCACTGTATAAAACAAATCATAGCTTCACCAAAAACAAACAAAAAAAAAAGTGTTTACTTTTGTATTGTGATCAATACTGCACTTGTGGAAGACGAATTAAGCAGAAAAATCCAGCCATTTACATCCATCTCAGGGGTGAGGCATTTTTCCACTTCCTTTTGAGTGAAAAAAAATCACATTTTTCCCCTCATGTGTGTATTTTTGGCTCATATTTTTGGTCTATATATTTGTCAAATACGCTTTTCTAACATTTGATACATTTTTCGTCTAATATTTTTCCCCTGATGGTTTTTTGTAGTTGATCTAATTTTAGAATTTTTCTCTTTTGTAAAAGGCAAAGGTTTGCCGGCTTCACGTTAAGACACGATGCACCCTCAATTCACGAGCATTGATTCTGTGGTTTCGAAGCCTTTCTTTCAAGTAGGGTTTATTTCAACAAAGGGTGAAGCAACACATGTAGTCATACAATATAACAGGGCTCACAGGGATACAAAAGATGACTGCATCTTACACAGCGGTTCAAACAGACTTCTTTGTTTATAGCCGATGCAGAAATTATACCGCCCCCTGGTGACGATAGCGCAATGAATTCATCATGATGCACAAACTTATTTTTTACATTGAATTTAATTATATTATTACAGGATGTTTATCAAGTTGAATACGATAGAGTGCTAAAAAATAACCCAAACAAACACATTGCATATTCTTGCACGTGTTTCACAGCATCGCTTAAGCTTAGACCAGCGTGCACAGTTCCACCATGAGTAAATGAATGGTGTTTTGCCAGGAAATGGTGTTCAAGGAAAAAAAAGCGGGGGCTTACCGTGAATAATGAGCTCAGAGTCCTTGTTGAGCTCGTAGAGGCGCAGCGCTTCTTCAAGCTCCAGCTGAGAAGATACTGTGCACGGGTCACCTGTCAGAGGATAATGTCGTTAAATCACGGAATCTCACGCAGACGAAGGAACGGGATTTCATTATAGATGGCAGCCAATTGATAATAGATAGTCATATGACAAAAGTTGTTGCTCAATTCGTGTTCTTGTCCGTTCTGAGGTCCTGAAGATCTTGTAATCAGTCGTGACCCAAGTCCTGTTCCAACTGTAAGTACGCAGAAACCAAGAACGCGCAGAATATCCAAATGTTCATGGAATCTTAAACCAAGATGCTTCTTAGATGAATCTTAAACCAAGATGCTTCGGTTGTTGACTTGTGAAGACTGGGCTGGGCAAATGTCCGAAGATACTTTGCGTGCTGCTATAAAAATGGCTGAGGAGAGGACTCATGTTTTAAGTCCCCCCCCCTTTAATCATTTCACGTAAATACGTCACAGCCAGGGGCTAAGACTAGAGTTCTTAGGAAGTACGTTCTGGAGTACATTCTCTGGTGTAAACTACCTTGTGTACGTTCTGGAGTACATTCTCTGGTGTAAACTACCAAAATAATAACAATAATAATAATAATAATGCACACACACCCAAGCATAAAACCTTAGGCGCGTATTAATCATGCATACACAAATATGCCCATTTTGTTTCATGTTTTTTTTTTTTTAAATACAAATCTAATAATGGAAGGCAACATTTGACTCGATCTCAAGAAGGGCAACCCCTTGCATGTTCTATCGATGTCAGGGGTGATGCTGAAGCACTTCATTATGAGCATCAAGCAGCTTTCTTGCTCGGGCAGGCTAACGACGGCGCCGATGATGTATGGCGGCTGAGTCTAATTAGTTTTGTCACGCTGACCTTCGTGCTGAGCGGTGAGATGCGACAGCTCCGTCTCGCGTGAGACACTGCCTCTGCCTGGCGAAATTGGGTGACAAGTTTGCTCCAATACTACGACACTCAATACCATGTACTTTGTAAGATTGTATTCTTTGTTTTCAAATCTTGAAATGGCCTCGCGCCACCTCAGGTCTAGGAGCTCCTCCGTCCCTTATGCACCTGCCCGGTACCTCGGGTCTGCGGACCAGACATTGTTCGAGGTACCAAGAACTAAGCGGAGGCTCAGAGGGGACCGAGCCTTTTGCGCTGCTGGTCCCTCTCTTTGGAATGGCATCCCACTGAACGTTAGGCGAAGCCCCTGGCTGCCCATCTTTAAAACTCCTCTTAAAACTCATTTTTATTCTTTGACATGTTACAGCACTTTGTATCCAGCGGTGGTTGTTTTAGTGTGCTTTATACAGTTGAGTAAAAGGACTGCCATATTTTGATCTTATATTATATTGTCATTTATCTCACAATATTTGTGCATAAAAACTAGTATGTAAGAGTGTGTTTCTAATAATTGTGTGTATAAGTTGGACACACACCTTCCTCGTCGATCCACTTCATGGTGAAGAGCTGGTCGTTGTCCATGGAGCACATGTCTCTTACTTCGCCGTAGAGGCCCTCATATGAGATGGACGGCTCAAAGTGGGTTATCATGATGTCCCTGCACAGAATCGTTTTGTTAATCACGCACCCTTTTGCACAGACGACGCCAGCACTTCAGTTGAGCATGATATTTCTCAGGAGTTTCCTCAGGAATTCTTGTACATGACAATATTGGTCATAGTCGATGCCGTATTTTCGAACCAAACAATTTCGAACCACTTGATTTGATATTTTAAAACAATATTTTAAAAATCATCTCAAACTGAAAAAAAATTTGGCCTGATACTCTCCCAAAAATGTCATTGAATTTCCTTGTTAGTTGTGGATGAATGAAAATGCAAAAGGAATTCAATTTAAAATGAAATGGAAATGATTGTGTTTTCAAATTTCCTTGGACATAAACCGTAACACCCTTTATTTTAACCAAGTATCTTTATCCAGTGTTGAGCAGGAAGACAAAAAAAAAACCCCAAAACATGCAAATAAGGAAATCGGTACATCACCCCGATAAGGCGGGTCCCATCACCTGCAACCGAGTAAATAATTGCCCCTGGCCCGGGATGCGGAAACACTTTACTAATGGAGCGTGGCCAACCGCAGAGATTAGGCCATCAGACATGGTCCTCTGTTTCTTCCAGTCACATACCCACAAACACACACACACACACACAGACACACACACACACAAGGGATAACGAGTCTAGTAGAGGGTGACCGGGACTGTTCACCCCTGTGGAGGGGATCATCTGTCAGACGTTTCACAGCCTTGTCTGCTAGCCCCCACCGGCCGGTCATTCTGATGTTTACAACCCGGGAGATGGCAGCCCATAAGCGTTTACGCTTCCATGGCAATTCGAGTCGGCAAACCCCTGAACGCACAAGGAAGGAGTTTATTTAGAATGTGGACATTAAAAAAAAATTTTAAAAAAAAGTGGAAAAGTGGGTGGGTGGGTCAGTAGGCGGATATTGAGGGGACCCTGCAGGCCCAGCATCAATGCACAAGGACATTCCTTTTACTCGCCTGCAACAAAATGGAGCCTGTGATTCTTGAACTTGAAAGCTTTAGGACAAGGCAAAAAAAGAAGAAACAAGGATACACCGGAGCACCGGTTCAACGTCAACTGTGTGACGGGGTTGAAGTCTGCTAGGTTGGGCCAGGCCTGGCGCAAAGGAATACGACTCAATTGTGTTTTGATCTAACAAAAAAAAAAAAAAAAAAAAAAAAAATGGTGCTTACGCAGGACATAATATGATGCCGTATTATACAATCCATCTTTATTTGCATCGCGCTTTTACAACAGCTGCAGCTATAACAAGGCGCTTTACCGAACAGTTCGCATAAAATAATACAAGAGAAGAACATAAATAGGCATCTGTAAAGCTGTCAAGTCTTGTCATGTCGGTAGATAAAAGCACGACTGGAGTCAAGTTGCTCCGCCTCATGGAGAAGTTGTTCAACCATGTGACAGACATTTTGTCCAAATTCCAAAATCGATCTTGGTCATATAGCGCGGTGTGGTCGATGAATGACTAGAAATCCTGGTGGGATAGGAGAGAGCGCCATGGCCAACTCTTAATGCGTCACTCAACTTGAAGTGTTAAAACAAAGAGACGGCGTCACACTCAATGACAGACGGCGGAAGGCAAAAAAAAAAAAAAGAATGGTGGCATTGTTGAAGCTGTGTACATCAGTGGCATGTTGCCGACTCCGCCTCCCAACCTGCCGCTATTTTCTCACCTTCCATCCTCCAGTCTGGTGGTGTTAATCATTGCCTACGAGGGAGGTGGGGGTTGGAGAAGGCTGGCGTCGGCAGTCCTACACTCTGATCTCTCCTGGAGGACCGACATGGCAGCAGCTTCATCCTCCCGAGAGATAACGGCGCCCAACAGACAGCGACGGCTGATGTTGAACGCGTCACGTTTCACGGGATCTAAGACGTGGGTGGCCATTGAATACGAGACCGCAGCTCATCTTTAATGCCGTCTGCATCCCAAATCGTGACTCAAGTAGCAGCCGGAGGAAAGAGGTGAGGTATTCTGTGTTGCATGATGAGATATTAGAAGGCTCTGCCCAAATTCTTGGCTGTGGCCTCAACACCACCACCCACCGTTCCGTTTGGCCTTGATTTATAACATGCTTAATCAATTTGGTTCATGGAAAAATATGATCTTTGCTGCCATGCCGCACCTACCGTGTTTTGATAAGACCTCACGATTGGCAATTTCAAGTCATCTCTTTGTCTATGACAGCGTACCTCAAGCTTTATTGATTTTACGTTCATCTCACAGTACACACACAAAAAAAAAAATGCCACCAAAAAATTCAAAGCAGACTACAATAATGATCACCCTGTCTTAGTGACACACAAATTTATGAAGCGCAAACTCCTTGAAGTTGAACACAAAGCTGTGACCGTATTTTCACAACCATGAGACGCACATAAAAGTCTCCAAAATAGACGGGCCGTGAAAAAACGTGGGTCACCCTGTGTATGCGCCAAGTTCCAAAATCCGCGATTGCCGTTGTGTGACTTAAGATGACGGGCCCGCTTGACAGACGGATGTTGTGCCGACACCTTGCTTATATAGAGGAAAGACTGGCGTAATTGAGGACGGCGTGCGGACGTTAAATTGGGAAGGGTGGGCGTGAAAGAGGACGCGAAAGGCACACCCCCAGTCGGTGCCAGTAGGTGCAGTGTGCAAAACAACATCTCGAAAACAGCACCTACGATGAGACGCGCTCATTAGCAAGCACAGGTGAAACGGCGGCAAGCTATCGGTTACACGGAAGACCAAGGGAATCGAGCAGCCCCGCGAGGGAATTCAAGATGAACTAATCCACGGTGCTTTTGTCCATCCTCCCGAGAGATAACAGCGCCCAACAGACGGCGACGGCTGATGTTGAACGCGTCACGTTTCGCGGGATCTAAGACGTGGGTGGCCATTGAATACAAGACCGCAGCTCATCTTTAATGCCGTCTGCATCCCAAATGGTGACTCAAGTAGCAGCCAGAGGAAAGAGCTATTTTGTGTTGCATGGTGAGACGTTAAAAGGCTCTGCCCAAATTCTTGGCTGTGGCCTCAACAACACCACCCAGCGCTGCGTTTGGCCTTGATTTATAACATGCTTAATCAATTTGGTTCATGGCAAAATATGATCTTTGCTGCCATGCCACACCTACCTACCGTGTTTTGATAAGACCTCACGAGTGGCAATTTCAAGTCATCTCTTTGTCTATGACAGCGTACCTCAAGCTTTATTGATTTTACGTTCATCTCACAGTACACAAAAAAAAAAAAAAAAAAAAATGCCACCAAAAAATTCAAAGCAGACTACAATAATGATCACCCTGTCTTAGTGACACACAAATTTATGAAGCGCAAACTCCTTGAAGTTGAACACAAAGCTGTGACCGTATTTTCACAACCATGAGACGCACATAAAAGTCTCCAAAATAGACGGGCCGTGAAAGAACATGGGTCGCCCCGTGTATGCGCCAAGTTCCAAAATCCGCGATTGCCGTTGTGTGATTTAAGATGACGGGCCCGCTTGACAAGACTGATGTTATGCCGACACGCTGCTTATACAGAGGAAAGACTGGCGTAATTGAGGACGGCGTGCGCACGTTAAATTGGGAAGGGTGGGCGTGAAAGAGGACGCTAAAGGCACACCCCCAGTAGGCGCCAGTGGGTGCATTGTGCAAAACAACATCTCGAAAACGGCACCTACGATGAGACGTGCTCATTAGCAAGCACAGGTGAAACGGCAAGCTATCGGAAGACCAAGGGAATAGAGCAGCCCCGCGAGGGAATTCAAGATGAACTAATCCACGGTGCTTTTGTTTTCTGAAACGGCGAGATCTAGCCATCCGGGCAAGGACGAACGACGGCGGCGCAGCGACATCCGGCAGACTACAAAGGAAAACAAGAAGAGCACGCGGGGTGATAAACGAAGCCCGACTGCTCATCACCGAGTAAAAGCCAGCAGCTGTGGCATTATGATGCATCGACCTGCCTTTCTTTCTGACTGTACGCTCAAATTAAACAAGAGTTGGTGAGCTGAGAAGGAGAGTTCTTGTAACCCGCGCCTCTGGCGTCTTAGTCAGACTCGGCGGTCCCGTCTGCCTGGAGTGAAGCGATTTGTCAGTGGAGACCTCGAGCAGGAGGAAAGGTCAGAGTGCCTCGCTGGGCTTCCATGAGCACCTCGGAACATCCGTCTTCACTGCTCACGGTCAACGCCCACTCCTGTGACGCCGATGCACAGCGAATGCTCAAAATGATCAAGCTTTGCCGCCATGCTTCCGCCAAATTAAACAGCAGAGGCAATTGAAAAGAGAATCAATTCTCGCTTCTGCGGGAAAATTGGGGTTTGTCAAAGGACGAGGGCTGGTATTCGACCAAAACGGCAGATTAAAAAACCAAAATGGCCCGCTTTCTGTTCGATATCAGGTCTGGGTCCTTGACACATTTTCAAGCCGCATGCATTGTTGATATTGGTGTTCAAGACCCCTCAAATCGATCACATTTCACCAGGATTCACCAAGGTTGAGGACACCCAAAAGGCAATACATTTATTGGAGGAACAAACAGAAAAATATGCCGACAGTTAATTTTCTTTGTGTAATTCTTTGGTGAATGGAGTTCTGGCCGGTATGGACTCACTTTTCTTGCTCTCCATCAGGGGACAAATTGACAATCAATCCAATAACA